CGTATACGAATGGGAAGGCTATCAATGATGTATTACAAGTTGGGCACAGAGGATACCATACACTGAAAGGAAATATAGTCGGGCATATAGGAACTAGTAGTTCACTCGATAGTATGATGATGATGATGATCAAAAGGCTCCGGTTCGATGATACTACCTTCCTTATGAAGTTGTTACGAACGCTCTTCGAAGTATCCGGACCAAACTCAATTATTTGTACCTACATTGACATCATCATCAACACCATTGCCGCCATCATCATTACATCAGCCGCTTGGACATAGGCTTGTTGTGGTGGTGGTGGAGGAGGAGGACTCTGAGAGTATCCATAATTCTGATCGTAATACCCATACCTAGCAAGGATGATGTAAAAAGAGTATTTTACGATGCAACAATGGATATTAATTATTAAGTACACAGTATCCTTCTCCTGGTATACAGTTAGATGTACTACCACAATCATCGTTATTACGTTGCCTGTTGTTGTTGTGGATAGTAGTACTGATTAGTAGGCTTGGATTGGTGACCTATTACTGCTCCTTGGACTATAGGAGTAGGATATGATGACATTATTATACACGTTTAATAATACTCTACTCATCGATTCAACAGGAGTAATCCGCGTCACGTCACGTCACTGGAGTGACAGTAACATCTTGCTATCTCACCATTACTTAAATAGTCCCGTCGCCGCCATCATATGTATATGACGCCAACTCACGTGATGATGATAGTGGGATGGAAGCCGTTTCGGTGTCGCTAAGGCTATATTCTAATCAACCAACAGGGGATATAATAAATAAAGTTAAGATACATGCTATATAGTGAGAAAAGGTACCGTACGTGCCGACCTAGGAGTGGTGGCTAGAGGATCTGCACACTTTATTGGGGTCTTGCAACCGCCCTCGGGAGACCTACGACGACGTTTGCTGCCACTTGAAGACATATATAAACACTCTCGCGATGCGATAAGTAATTGACAATAATGATCACAACACATATTCGACAAATGTAACGATTTTACACACGTATAATCGATCAAATTGGAGAATCAATCAACTTTCTTACAAGGCGTATCTTCACTATGAGCGCTTAACCTGAACCAAACACCCTTCCCTACACTATGGAATCAGCCTTACTCATTATTATCAGCTTTGAGTGGTGACTCTGTACGGGAGGTGGTAGGACTACTGCCTCCATTGCCATGTAGTACACTAGTACGTTCACGTCTATACATCCTAGTCACCCATAAGTGACGTTGGACATCATTCATCATGAGCAAGTCGATAAATGATTGTAATCTAAAGGGGAGGGGGCAGGGGTGATCATGACACAGATAATAATAGTTAGTCGTAGCTTCTACTACCGGTATAGAACACCATAGCCCTCAAGAGTCTGGAATACGAACCAGAACCAACTTGATCCGAGAGTAAGGCCAAGTAATAGTCCTGCTCGGACCTGTGACCATGTATGTGCTAAGAGGAATACTCTTGAGTACCTAACATAGATCGTCCTGAGACGAGATCATGAGGATGATACTTACGCGAGGGGGAAAACAATGAGTATGACCGCCAAAACGGGCGGAATGTATCTTATCCATAGTGGTCGTGTTCGTATATGATGCTTAACAAACAAGAAACTGAAAAAGAGATGGTAGAATACCCCATCCAGGATTCGAACCGGGGACCATCAGCTTACCCATATGCAATGATAAAGCCACAAAACTGACAGTGATCACTCGGCATTCCATAACCCTTAGCAAAGGTACCTTCCGGCCTTGGCTCAGCAATGTAGTACTTTAATATGGTATTCACTATTGTTGATAATATCAACCCTACCAGTAGTAGACCCCACCGAACCTGAGTAGTAACAACAATACCGCACAGGTTCAATCCTCACATCATGCATTATTCCCCCTGCATATTACTGATTGCCGCACTAAAGTGATGGTAAAGATCGATGATATAGCAAAGATAGGTGCTAGTGATAGTAACGCTAACATCCACCCTATGACCTGATAGTGAGGCGGAGCGAGGCGGCAAGTACTACTATTACTACCTTGCCGTACTCCCTAGTTGGGTATGGTACGTAAGTTAGAGAGAATACTGTCCAATCAGGTGGTAGACAGATGACACTAGAATTGGGTGACATTAGGCATAAACACTATAACAATACACTAAGCTTATGCATTAGGTTAATACTTCAACTGTTGATAATCATCATCATCGCTACTACTAGACATTACTACGACACCTACTAAACCGGTTCATGATCTCGAGGGCAGATTCTGAGCACTTACCACCACCTTCATGATGGCAGAATCATTCCATCACATCATGAACATATGACCAAAAGGTATTAACAATCAGATCGTTCATACAGAATTATCCTTATGAAGTAGTATGGTACCAACCTCTCAAGGCATGATGATGTAAATTGGAATTCGCATACTACTGTTTTCAATTCCCATCATAAACACCACCACCAAGGTCAGGATCATCAACATATCCCCACTTCTTCCCCTACCACTCGTTTTACGTCTTTTCCATCAGAATAAACCCCAGCCTCCAGCAGCAGCAGCAGAGAGGCAACTATCCTCAAATTCTCGTACAAACTCCGGACCTATTCTACCATCATCTTAGGCAAGAGAGATCATCGAGATATCCTTTGATAAGCTCTCCATCACCTCATGACGTCATACATGCCGGAAGGATGATGTCCTTCTTGAATTGATTCCGAGCTTATTATAAGACCTGCTCTAATAAGATTCTTATTATAAGAACACTCTCTTGTATCACATCTATTCCACCACCACCACCACCTTTGATATTATCCCCGGACCCAGCAGCCGAGAACAGCAGCCTTCATATATGGACTCAACAAAAACATGCTCATTGACTGATGATGATAATGATGATGATAGAATCTTATGGAGCCAATTAGTAGCACTGGAATCCAAAACGTAACGAGAAACATTTCCAATAAATAAAGTATCGACAACTGGGACAATAATTTCACGGCGCGTGAGGGTTCAGAGCCGAATCCTCTCCTCTTCCTTCCACTCAGCCGTCCCTGGTACTATACTCTAGTAACAGCGAAGGGATACCAGAGGCTACTACCAAACCCTATTGATTGCTGTGTTAAGTTTGACATAGTTAAGAAGTAATCGGGAATGACACATATCCCTACCCACCCGTGCATACCACACCTCTACCACATCACATAGCTATCCTCGTCGGTAGCTTCTAAAGTTCCAATCCCGCCTCAGACAGTCTAGGCTTCTGCTCTCTGAAGAAGTTCTACAGAGTCGATAGAGAGATACTGAGACGAGTTGCTATCGAGAACATACCCTCTAGCGTTAGACCGATATCCAACAGTACCGCTACCGGGGTTCGAACCCGGGACCTACCTTGACAAGGTCATCATAGGCCGTGATGATAGTATTAATACCTCCCGCCAATCCCAGCCCTCCTGCCTACTCT